TGCACAAAACACTGCAAATACCAGTGTTTTTGAAAGCCAAGCAAAAAAACACTGTAAATTACAGCATTTTTGGCATGTTGATCGCAAAAAATGCTGGTATTTACACGGTTTTTACAATTTCAAGAAAACGTGGAAGGCACGAAACACTGTAAATAGCGGTGTTTTGGCCACTTTTGGACGCCGGAACGCTGGTATTTGCGCAGTTTTTTTCCCGTGGCGGCGCCAAACCCCTGTAAATTACAGCATTTTCTTCCCTTTTTGAACCGATTTTTTGCGTTGATGAACGCAAAAAATGCTGGTATTTACGCGTTTTTCAAAAAATCGAAGATCGTGACGTGAACGAAACCTTGTAAATAACAGTGTTTTAGCCACTTTCGGGGACTAAAACCGCGGTATCTACGCGGGTTCTTGCCATCTGACAGCGCAAAATGCTGTAAATTACAGCACTTTGTGCGCTGTTTATGTTCAATATTTTATCCTGCGATGCTTTCACCTGTTCTTTGCATTCTTCCACAAGAAACGATGTTGCAGATTGAAACTGGACGACAGCGTGACCCAAAAGAAAGCTGGATGGAGGAGTCGCACAGAAGCTTTTGCACATACAGGGGCTTTTACACAGAGAAGTCTTTACACAAAGGAACTTTTTACACACAGAAGGTTTTACACAGAGAAGTCTTTACTCTAAGGAGCTTTTGCACACAAACGTCTTTACACACAGGAGCTGTTACATAAAGAAGTCTTTACACAGAGGGCTTTTTACACACAGACGCGTCTGCACACAGAAGCTTTTACACAGAGAAGCCTTCACACAGAGGAGCTTTTACACACAAAAGCATTTACACACAGCAAGCTTTTACACACACAGGGGCTTTTACACAGAGAAGTCCTTACACAAAGGAGTTTTTTACACACAGAAGGTTTTACACAGAGCAGTCTTTACTCTAAGGAGCTTTTGCACACAAACGTCTAGGAGCTTTTTCACACAGAACTTTTTACACGAAAAAGGCCTGACAGAGAGAGTTTTTACACACAGACGCGTTTGCACATAGAAGCTTTTACACAGAGAAGCCTTTACACAGAGGAGCTTTTACACACAAAAGCATTTACACACAGCAAGCTTTTACACACACAGGGGCTTTTACCAGAGAAGTCTTTACACAAAGGAGCTTTTTACACACAAAAGGTTTTACACAGAGAAGTCTTTGCTCCAAGGAGCTTTTGCACACAGAAGCTGTTACATAAAGAAGTCTTTACACAGAGGGCTTTTTACACACAGACGCGTCTGCACACAGAAGCTTTTACACAGAGAAGCCTTCACACCGAGGAGCTTTTACACACAAAAGCATTTACACACAGCAAGCTTTTACACACACAGGGGCTTTTACACAGAGAAGTCCTTACACAAAGGAGCTTTTTACACACAGAAGGTTTTACACAGAGAAGTCTTTACTCTAAGGAGCTTTTGCACACAAACGTCTAGGAGCCTTTACACACAGAAGCTGTTACACAAAGAAGTCTGTACACAGAGGGCTTTTCACACACAGACGCGTTTGCACATAGAAGCTTTTACACAGAGAAGCCTTTACACAGAGAAGCTTTTACACACAAAAGCATTTGCACACAGCAAGCTTTTACACACACAGGGGCTTTTACACAGAGAAGTCCTTACACAAAGGAGCTTTTTACACACAGAAGGTTTTACACAGAGAAGTCTTTGCTCTAAGGAGCTTTTGCACACAAACGTCTAGGAGCCTTTACACACAGAAGCTGTTACACAAAGAAGTCTTTACACAGAGGGCTTTTTACACACAGACGCGTTTGCACACAGAAGCTTTTACACAGAGAAGCCTTCGCACAGAGGAGCTTTTACACACAAAAGCATTTACACACAGCAAGCTTTTACACACACAAGGGCTTTTACACAGAGACGTCTTTACACAAAGGAGCTTTTTACACACAGAAGGTTTTACACAGAGAAGTCTTTACTCCAAGGAGCTTTTGCACACAAACGTCTAGGAGCTTTTTCACACAGATTTTTTTACACAAAGAAGGCCTGACAGAGAGAGTTTTTAAGCACAGGCGCGTTTGCACACAGAAGCTTTTACACAGAGAAGCCTTTACACAGAGGACTTTTACACACAAAAGCATTTACACACACACAGAGGGGCTTTTACACAGAGAAGCCTTTACACAAAGGAGCTTTTTGCACACAGAAGGTTTTACAGAGGGAAGTCTTTACTCTAAGGAGCTTTTGCACACAAACGTCTAGGAGCCTTTACACACAGAAGCTATTACACAAAGAAGTCTTCACACAGATATATAGCTTTCACACACAGACGCGTTTACACACAGAAGCTTTTACACAGAGAAGCCTTTACACTTTACACAGAGAGTTTTTACAGACAGTGAAATCTTTACACAGACGTTTCACACAGAGAAGCTTTCACACACAGAAGCTTTTACACAAAGAAGTCTTTGCACAAAGTGGTTTTTACACAGAAACTTTTACACACAAAAGCTTTTACACAGAGAAGTCTTTGCACAGAGGCACCTTTACACGAAGTAACAAGTTGAAATTGGCAGCAGTTCTTCGGGAAAAACCCTTGGCAGGAGCTTTCGGGAACTCACTTGCTCCCCAAAAAAGCCGTCTATTTCCAACAAAGTTCCTATTCCATGAACTTTTTTTCAAAAAACATAAGGAATATATTTCTGAAGCAGGTCCCCATCCAAAGCATTCAAGCCCACACTGCGATGAAATGCAGGGTCGAGAAATCCGGCGGAGCCGACGAGGGGCGTCAGCCCTTAAATAAATATATTCTTAAAAATCGAAAACATTTACAAACATATTTTGAAGCAAATGGGAAACACATTAATTAATTATATATATACATACAAAAGTCTTGTTTTCCGGTGTGATTTTTTGCCTGTTCCAAACCACACTCTCTTCCCATGTGAACTGGGTCCACCAGCCAAACAGACAATTATATACATGCCAGAAAGGAAAAGCGGAACATACCTCAGAAAGAAATATCAGAAGAAAGATGCACCGAACATAACTGAACACGAGCTTGTACATTATGGACCACCATGGCCACTATGGTGGCTTTGACGACAATCCGAGAAGCTCCGGCTCCACCGTCATCGCCCTCGTACACCATTCATCCCTCTTTTCTGAAATAATTTCCCCACTTGAAAAACCTGTAGAACATGCAGAAAACAAGCAACCAAAACATGCTAAACTACTAAACTACAAGTTTCTTTCAGGAACGTCGACTTTTGCACATTCAGCTGCCTTCTCTGCTGCAGAGTTCTCAGAGCCCACAGTTCATCAAGCTGTGCCAAATGAGATCTGTGCAGCCGATTAAGTATGTCATACGGAAACAGTAGAAGCTTCTCCGGCAGAAGGCTGTCACTAGCCACCGCCACCATCCTCATTTGGTCCCGCGAACATTGCGAACTCAGCGCTTCAAGGCCTTCAAGGCCAGTGCATCCAAGGCTGCATTTGTTCATTTTGTTCTCCAAATTCTCATTGCCATGGCCTGAGTCGCCTTGGGAAGGGGCAGCTGTAGGTACTGTAGATTCTTCTAGTTCTTCTCGTTCACTTTCTGAAAGCTTGGCCTGGGACGCTTGGAAAATGGCCCACTGTGACACGTCAGTGTCGAATGTGTCAAGTTCTGGAGCTACAGATGCCTCCGCTTGTGAATATGTTGCGTCTTCTGTCTTGGAAAGTGATGCGTCTATTCTTGGTGGTCTATTGACCTCAATCTGCGACACGAAGTCATTCCGTGCAGCGAGGAGTGGATAAGGAAGTCCACGGGACATGGCATGAGGAGCGAGTAAGCACATACATGCAACATCATGCAACATCATGCAACATCATGCAGCATCATGCAAGATCATGCAACATCATGCAACATCTATTTCTCCCAAGTTCTCTCATCTTTATTTGCTGGAACATACTGGAATTGCTTTGACCCAAACTCTTTCTACCATGCTGGGGAACTCTCCTCGGCCTTCCAAATCCATATGAAGCCAAGACAGCTCAGCAGCCAAGCTGACGCAGCACGAACACAAGTGTCAAAATGAGAAAGGCCAAAAATGCGACAAGTATGGACAAGTGATGACAAGTTCAAACCAATGGCTTCAGGCTCGAAACCCTCGTTCACATGCAACCAAAATTGTATGATCAGTGTCTCTTCACATGTTCTGCGTGTCGCTGCAAACGCGGACAACATTGTTTCGCCGCGCTGGCGAGATATCTGAACAAGATAATTTCTATGTTTCATGTCTGTACGGTTGAGCAGCCATCTATCACTGAAACATCAATCAGTAATGGATAATAAATCTGGAAAATGAATGCTCAAAACTCGGACTGCTCAACTGCATCTGGCCGTTTGCTCCTTGCATAGGCCTTCCACCAGCGATGAATGTTGTGACACCACGCATCACCACGCACTGGGTGCAAAGGAGTCATTATTAATTAATACATATTATATACAGTAATAACAGTAATACATGAAATTACCATAGTATGCAAAAGAGGTCACCGTGTACGTCTGTCTGTATACTTTACTACTCATTTGCAGCATCAGTTGTCACAATCTGTACCTTAACCTCTATGATCTCGATCGTCTCTGTTTCTCCAGTGAAAATTTGTCTCTGAACACACTGACACTAGTCTGTCTTGTCTATCCAATCTACAGCTTCTTTTCCAATATCGCTATCCATCTCGATTGAGGCAATCCATCCGCCAATACACAGAAACCTTTACATACCATCAAGTGAAAAACAATCAATTATAATATAACCGTGCATATGTTTTATATACATTTATATCTAAATGATATGATTAACTGATCAAATAACACACGCACACACACACAGATGCGCAAAACTTTTGCCTGAGGTGACCATGGATCTTGCTGTCTCTCAACCATCATGCACAAAGGTCTTGCGATTAGAGAGCTGAACTACAATTTTTACAATTTACATTTAAAGTCAAGCACGAGAACTAAGCTGAACTAACACTCCTCTTGCATATCTACAGAACGTGGGACTGCTGCTTTCTCTTAGTCACTCTCACCACTCTGGCAACTCGCTGTGACGCTTGCAACCTGCGACCCGCCGTTTCTCTCGGAAGTTCACATGGCCCGAACCCTGCTCCCTAGTGATGTGGTCTTTTACATCTTTTAACATCTTTTAACATGTCCCTGTCACAACAGTCAAGGGGAGTGAATAAGCTTGGTGAACAAGAACGATTTCTGACTTCAGGTCTCAAGATTGACATGTCCATGGTGTCCCGACCAAAAAGGCTTGTGAAGCATCATTTGTGAAACCCAAGTGACGTACACAGACACAGAACAGGTCCTAACCATTACCAAAAGGCCGGCATCAAAGAATCAGGAGGGTATAGGATGGTCGTTTTTCACACATCACAGGGGGCCCTGTCCCAAGGCTATCACTAATATCAAAGATATTCAACAGTAGAACACCAAGCTGAACTTTCATGCTCTAATACCGGCCTCATGACTCCCTCTGGCTGGGCAATGCTTCGTTCCATCCCCCAACTTCGTCTGTACTTCTTGAACGTCTTGAACACTCAGTTGACTCTTGACGCTTTCCTGGTCACCTTGCATCTCGTCACCTGCAAGGCCAGTGTCATCTATCTTCAATTGCTCCTGTGTCGATGCAGCCGCTGCGCTGTCCAAGCTCAGGGGATCTGCAGAGACTCCCGCTCTGCAGCTGTCCTCTGCTGTGTCAACAATCTCCTCCTGTTCAGACCGTTCTTGTTCTTTTGCATGTGTTTCCTTTTCTTCCTCCTTTTCTTCCTGACCCTCAGCTGGCTCTGCAGCTCTTGAGCTTGAGCTTGCCAACTCCCGCAAAGGAGGGTTGAAGTTCATGCGACCTCTGTCCTACGTGCTAATCCGCAAAAACATGCCATTTTGAATGTGCACATGCATGCTGGGAACATCGCATATATGAGGCATATGCAAGCTGTCTTGCGTTATTTTGTCAATCATAAAGAATAATATACGCTGAAGTACCTCACATCACATCTGCTGTCTTGCAGGAATGTGTTCAGAGTGAGTAACAACTAGGCCTTAAGGTTCTAACTAGATACATCTGTTATTTTCAGAACTTCCTGCGTGCACGACAACATGCAACAACATGCAGCAAGCGACGTTTAGCCACTCTAAATCTATAGAATACTATAGACATGCAAATATGATTAAATATCATGGTTGCGCATGGGTAGCCCAAATGGATGTTGAATCTTGATAGCGAACAAAAATCATCAAACATCTTCTTGCCCCTGGGTCTAAAATCGAACCATATCCACATGGTCTGAAAAGTCCTGGTGCCCGGAAGAGCGTGGTACCAGCTTCCAGTGGATCAGCGGTGCCTTACCATTTTGTTGCATCTTTGGTAGAGCCGTTCTTCATTCAGTATCATACAGATTCGTGGGACGCTAATCTGCGCAAGATTCTGCAATTCAATGGTGGCATGATGTCAGCTCATGTCACCTCGGTATACCTAAGTCCTCTTACTCTTGGTCTTGGGTCATGGATGGTCCCTGTTGTGCATGCCAAAACTCTCCGCTGCGCACTCGATGTGGAGTCAAGCAATGACTAGCTGGCCAGTCAGCTGCTTCGAGCAAAACCTCCACAAACTTAGAAAACTTTCAGAGCACTCAAAGACAAGGGGTGCAGTTTGTTTTAATTGTTGTTTGTTTTTCATCTGTTTCTTTTTCTGGGGCACTTGTACTTTGCTGAATTTTGGAGCTAAACTGTGTCATTTGCACTGTTCATCGATTTTTCCATAGTTTCCATTGAGTTTTCCATGGTTTCAATTGATTTTTCCATGGTTTCGATCGATTTTTCCATGCATCGCATGCACCTGGTGAAGATGTAGAATATAGGTTGAAGCACAACCGTGTTGGGTCTAAATAGTGGCATTGGATGCTATCATAGTGTTGGTTGGTTTAGGGTTTATTTAGGGTTGGTTTATGGTTGGTTTAGGATCATTTAGGGCTGGTTTAGGGTTGGTTTAGGGTTTATTTAGGGTTGGTTTAGGGTTTATTTAGGGTTATTTTAGGGTTATTTTAGGGTTCGTTTAGGGTTTTATTTACGGTTGGTTTAGGGTTTATTTAGGCTTGGGTTAGGGTTTGTTTAGGGTTGGTTTACGGTTTATGTAAAGTTTGTTTGGGGTTTATTTAGTGTTATTTAGGGGTGGTTTTTAGTGTTTGTTTAGGGTTGGTTTAGGGTTGGTTTGGGGTAAATTTAGGGTTAGTTTAGGTTTATTTCTGGTTGGTTTAGGGTTATTTAGTTTAGGGTTGGTTTATGGTTTATTTAGGGAGGGTTATGTTGGGTTGGTTTATAGTTGTTTTAGGGCAATTTATTGTTATTTAGGGCTATTTATGGTTATTTAGGGTTGGTTTATGTTCGGTTTAAAGTCTGTTGGGGGTTGGATTAAGGCACATGTGGGATACAAGGTGTGTATATAAAGATAGATAAATAATGATAAATAGATAGATAGAAAGATAGAGTGATAGAAAGATAGATTGATAGATTGATAGATTTGATAGGTTAAATAGATTAGATAGATTAGATTTGATAGGTTAGATAGATTAGATTTGATAGATTAGATTTGATAAATTAGATTAGATTGGACTGGACTGGATTGGATTAGGTTAGATAAAATAGATTAGATGAGACTAGATTAGGTTAGATTAAACAGATATGTTAAATACATAGAATAAAAAGATCGATTAAATAATGACCACCCCCTAAAGGGTCCCCGAGAGTGGTCTCCCACCTCGATTAATTAAAACATTAATCCAAGGGTCCCTACTTCTTCAAGGTACCTCTAATAATTTGCTCGGCGGCACTTCCCCCCCACCTAGATGTAATAAATGGTTCTCTCCCCACCACCTAAATTAATTTCAGGTAAAATTATTCAAGAGTGGTGGAACTACCATTTCTTCTTGGGTTCAGGGGACCCCAAAAAAATTCTTCTAATTAATTGGGGTATGGTTAGCTAAATTATTTGAGGCAGGGGTGAAGGTATGTATCTAAAGTTTCAGGAACATGGGGGTTGTTCAAAATTATGGTGCCCGAAAACTGCCCATACGCCGCCCTTGGCCTTGCGCCACTGCAGCAAAACACACATCCATAACGTTTAACTGCAGATGTCACTCGGAAACTGTACTAGTGTCATTACAATCATTGGGTCCTGTACTGCTAGTACACCCACCCCCAAATTAATTTTACGCGTGGCCACGCGAGCTGGGAAAAAGGAAAAACGTTGTTGGCGCACAAAGAAATAGATTGGGTGTGTACTTGTTCGTGGGGTTTTACTGGGTTTTCAATTCTCATTGCGCACAATCAATAAGATTCTGTTCCAAACGCATTTTCTTACTTGTAAATGCCACCCAGTTAGATTTAGTGTCATTACAATCATTGGGTCCTGTACTAGTACACCCACCCCCAAATTGATTTTACGCGTGGCCACGCGAGCTGGGAGGGAGAAAAACAATGGTTGGTGATATGAGAAATAAATTGCACGTTTCTTTGTTCGCAATGGTTTTGAAAAGCTTTTCAAAATCATTTGCAAAACAATCAATAAGATTCTTTTCCAAACACATTTTCTTCCTTGTAAATGCCACCCAGCTAGTTTTAGCGTCATTAATAATCCAAATTTCATTGAGCTGGCATGAGCTGTTTGACGAAACATTCCCAAATTAATTCGAGGTGGCCCCATTCTCATTCTATTAATTTGGGTACCCCCAACTTAAATTAATCCTCGAACAATAGTCTCCTCGAAAAAAACCTCCCAAATCAAAATTAATTGAAAAAAATAATTGGATAAACAACGGTCCACCTGGATTAATTTCGTTAACGGGGTCGTCATATTAAATAGATAGATTAAATAGATAGATTGAATAGATAGATTAAACATACAGATTAAATAGAGAGATTGAATAGACATATTAAACATACAGATTAAATAGAGAGATTGAATAGACAGAGTAAATAGATAGATTCAATAGAGAGATTAAGCAGAGAGATTAATAGATAGGTTAGGTAGATTAGATTAGATTAGATAGATTAGATAGATTAGATAGATTAGATAGATAAGTTAGATAAGGTAGAACAAGATAAAACAAGATAAGATTAGATAAGATAAGATTAGGTTAGATTTGATTAGGGTTAGATTAGATTAGGGTTAGATTAGATTAGATTAGATGAGCAATCTCGAAAACCCTAGGTTCACGGAAAGGACATCCACAAATTTGGGAAGGTCCCATCGCCTACCACACGTTTGTACAATAATGATATATGGTAGACTTGGGGGGTATCGCTTGCAGGAAACTGCTACTGTACATTTTTATATATATATACATATATACACACATATATATATATATAGTTCACAGAAATCAACGTCCAATTTGGGTATCGCTAATGTGGATATTAGAGAAATACAATGACATAACCTTGACAAGGGGTATCGCTAATTTGGGAAGGTCCCATCGCTTACCATGTGTTTTTAACAATTTCCATCCTTTTCCATAAACCAATGTCCGTCCAATACATATTTAGTATTGCAATGGGTTTTTGCAGTGGCTCAGATTAGATTAGATTGGATAGATAGATTGGATAGATAAAGCATGGTAAAGCCACAAAAGCCACACACCCACAAAAGCCACAGAAGCCACAAAAGCCACAAAGCCAGGCTGGAAAACAAAAAAAACAAAAAACATAGCCCTCCAAAGACAAGTTCAATGCACTGCGCAAATTCGTATTGAATGATGTGTAAAGCTTATTTGCTGTCACTCAGACAGGTGAAGAAAGACAATGTCGTACTGCACAAAATTGGATCGTGATAACTTGAAGACTAATGACCAATGAGGAAGACCCTTTCAATTGAATGCATTCCAGGCCTGGAGGACCCCTGCACAAAGACCATCACCTCAGCCAAACCCTATCAGTACAAGTCCTTACTACATCTTACTACCATGTCAATCCATGTCATCAATAACCATAGTTTTCAAACTTGGCAGTGGGACCATGGTCAAAATAAAGTGAACAGTGAGGATAAATACCAAATTAAATGCACCCACTGCAATTAACCCAAAAACTGTATGGGCCCTCGGATGCCTGATGAATGCATGCCGAAGTGCTGCTTTCGCTGTTTGCTGCATCAATATCCTGGCAACGCAACCCCGAATGATTTCTTCTGTAGATTGGGTGGTACGCGCTGGGAGCAGTCTGAGAGGGACTGGCGACGCTGGTTTCCTAGAGACCATTGATTGGGAAAAGATGGGAGTAGATACTGGAGAAACCAATGCGAATTTTAATCAATGTGGGTTTCCAAGTTTCGCTGTGGCTAACTCAAAGCAAGCTAAATCAGGCTGCCGCAAATCTGACACAACCTGCTCTTCTGACTCTGGCTCTTGCTCGCCTAAATGACCTGCGTCAGCTGGCAATCCCCGGCTCAACATCATCTGGGGAATGTTATCTTGCGTTCATCTCGGGATTGAGGTTGACGGCAAGAAATCCTAGAATGACACCATCTATACTGCAGTGCAATGCAATCAGACACAGCGCTACATGAATCGGAAAAAAAAGGCGGGACCAAATTAAAATATAAATGGAACGCTTAGAGTCTCAGAGTCCCAAAACAGTTGTCCCGGTGCGACATGTTGTTCCTGAAGACAAAAGTACCCTTGCGATTGGGAACCAAAAACACAGGAAAAGGATAGAAAGGCAAGCCTGTGTTAAAGTTGTCAACAAAAAGCGCACAGGACTGTAGCAAGAGCTCGGTTTGCATTTCAAAATGTTCAAGAACTGTCATTCTCGGAGCACTTTTGCAAGATGAGGTCGGGAAAATGTGCACCAGACTGTAAAGAGAGCTCGGCTTCAAAAAAACAAAAGAACGTTTAAATAAAAACTGGCACTTTCGGAGAAACCCCGGATTTGCGTGGTCGAGTCCGCGCTATTGACGCGCGAATGTTGGTTGATTTGGCGCGATGCTCCTGCTATGTGGGTTTGCAAAATGCATTGGCACGGCCGCGCGCAGCAAAGCTGCAGTGATGATGCGACGCTCCTGGCAAGCGGGATTGCAGCTGGAGGTTGCTAAATGCATCCATCCTAACAGCCGCGCGAAGGGTAGTTGCCAGGTAATTCTTGCCATAGTGCTGCTCTTGTGCTATGCGGGATTGCAGCTGGATGTTGCCAAACGCATTGTAACAGCTGCGCGAAAAGAAGAAATGGGTTGCAGAAGCTACAGAAGAGCTAGCTGGGAGGCAGCTCAGAGCATGGTCAGAGAAGAAGTAGCCCAGATAAAAGGCTGCTTAATTAAAAAAGAAGTAACTGAGAGCGAAGAGGTCGCTCATTCCCTCAGTGAAGAAGTAACTCAAGAAAAAAACATCCATCCATGCACTCATACATCCGTTCATTCGTTCAATCATTGACTCAGTGATGTATCGGCTCGCTATATAATTCATTCATTTCGTTTCGTTTCGTTTCGTTTCATTGCTGGGTCTTAGCACCGGTTCTACAAGGGTTTCATGGGGTTCCATATAGGGTTCCATGGTGCAACTATGCGCAAGTCCTTGCGGCTCCGCCTGTGCTGCGGCTCAGAGCTGCCTGGCGCACTCCACTGCGCGCTGCACTACGAGGCGGTGAGAAGAGCGGCACCTTTGGCAGCGCCTCACAAAATGATAAAAATGGCAGAAGACACGGAACTTCACAAAGGCTTCGCTGTCCAATATTGTGCCGTGCATACGACAACTAATTCATTCACAATGTTTATCAATATTTCTCAATGCATGAGTCCGGCTCACTGCATTCAGTTCATCTCAATCAAGGCAATCGAGATTGTCAGCAAGGATTTTTAAATTTTAAGTATGTCCAGGTGCTGCAGTGAGTCAGCTGCTGTTGCAAATGCAGTCACACACACACACACATCATGCATTCACCGCAAACTTGTGAAAAATCATGAGCAGTCGTCTTCAGTGACTTGGTAGCAAAGCAGGCCACTGTGCGAAGGCTTGCCTCAACCACCCAACATCCAGCCTCTCCACCGAAGTCGCGCGTGCTTTGTTGCCTGCGCAAGGCAAACCGACAGGGAATAAGCTGCAGGCAACAAAGGCGGCATGCGGCAAGGCCGCGTTGCCGCGTTATGTGAAAGCGAGGAACCAGCCTAGGCCTGTGGTCATTGTAATTGATGGAGTCCACTCATGGCAAGGTCTTACATGGTCTTACGCTACGTAGATAGACCTTGCCGTTAATCATGTTGATCCAATAGGGAGCGCAAAGCCCAAGCTCACCCTAGAGTCAAGCTAACGCAAGCTGGCCAGCTAGGCGCGAGACAGTGGGCATCGTTCATTGTCGCAGATCCTTGCTTTCCCACATTTTCCCACCATATGTCCCACCTCTCAAGCAAAGTCTTGGCCAAATGAGGTGCGCGCAAAGGCTGGGCGAACGGATGAACTGACACTGCAAGCACTACGCGAAGTAGTGAGAGGGCCACAAGAAACAAAAGAGCAGCCAGCTGTCCAGCAAACCTAGGCTTGGCGACGATCGCCATAGTCATCTGACTCTGAGCGATCTACACTTGAGCATCCAGCATACGATAAAGAAAGCAAACCACTGACAAACAACACTACTTGCAGCGCATTGAAGGCTAAAAGAGCCAAGGCACACAATTTCCACATCTGGCAGAGTTGGCAAATCCCACCAGTCCGTTTTCACGAAATTCGCCTCAATACAACGTTCAATACACCTAAATAAATCTAAATAACGTAAATAAATGTAAATAAATGTAAATAAATGAAATAGTAATTTTGTTGCATATTGTTACATTACAATGACACCCTGCACTCAAGAATGCAAATTCTATCAAATTCTGTCTCAGAGCACCTCTGACTTTCGAATGCGTATCTGCACAATCGCCAGCGCCATGCAAGCAATGCCTTCGCAAGTCCAGGCATGACTATCATGACGGCACATGTGCACATTCTATCATATTTTATCATATTCTATCACATTCTTGTGCAAAACAAAGCAATCTAACATAATCTAAATACTTTGCCCATCTTTGCCGCTTTGCTCGTCGACTCATCGACTCACGTTCTTCTGCAGCAGACTAGCTAAGTCCTGCACCACTCAATGTTGATGCAGCATGAGTCAAGAAGAAGCCAAAACGGTCAGACTCAAAGAGATGGCCTACAGTAGTGGAAAGCACTCGAAACTTTGCTCATCGTTCTTTGCAGTGACAGTCATCGTAATCGTAAATCCCTCTTTTCCATGACATCTATAATCTATGCGAAGCCCCTTGTTCAGGGTTGACAGGGTTGATCCTATCTGAATACCTCTGCAAGCAGAAAGGGTCAGGAAAGCGGAGCATTCTTGCAGTGCATTCTTCCTTCAAATAGATCTCAGTTCATGCTCAAGTTGTGTAGTGGTGTTACCATGTCTTACCTCTATACGGTATTCAAATCCTTGCATTTTTAAAGGTGAGGGCCACAGTCTGCTTCGCTGAAGCAGGCTGAAAACTACTCTCTCGGAGAGTCAACAAGTCGCACGGTTGCAAATGCTTGAGTCCAGTGCATTGCTCTCCGACCAGGATCTGTCTGATTTGTGGTGTGGTCACTATACTATCCTTTTCATTGTGGATGAGAGGCCAATTGGTAAACAGGACCAGAATTGTCTGGCACCTACGACGATACTTGTTGACTTGCCACATCCGTCATAGGCCAAGTTGCTGGAGAAAGTGGCCAGGCTGCCCATCATACCTAAATTGAAAGGTCAACTTCGAAGAAAAGTCACCGGCATTTGTCGCTCACATGTTCGAGCAAAAGCTCGAAATACGTTCCAAGCCCAAGTGCCAATAGTTGCACCGACAGGTGATAGCCAACGAAGACCTGGAGACGCCTCGCAAACCAGAAGGGAGAAAACAAACAAGGCCAAGCCGTGTCCTTGCTAGAAACTGCATAGTAGCGTGTGTTAGCTCGAGCTGTTGATGCTTTTGTACAAGCTCCCAAGCCAAAGCCTCATTGTAAACAAACACAGTGCCCCTCTCCCCTACTCACTAGTGTCATTCCCCAATCCCAGTTTGCATACGGAGAATCTATCTAAGAATCTATACTAATCTATACTATACATGCATGCGTCCCAGGCGTATATACACAGACTATCCTCTGATTGCAGTTCACGATGCGCATGACGCGATGAATCTTGTGTATGTGCGTTGAACAGCAATCTGCAAGCCTCTGGGCAAAACGGCCCTGAACCCAGGGCCACAGAGCAAAAGACCCAAGGCAACGTAGCCACGGTGAGGCGGCATCTTTTTATTGGCAAATTGCCTCAAGCGCGGAGTCATGAAATTAAATGTTGTGTCTTGAGTTACGTGTGCCATGTCTTTCCCTACAGCCTACAGCATTTGCGAAAGCAACCAGGTCCTGAACCCATCCAGAAGGCAACTTTGCTAAGTACAGTACGTCATGATTTAATCTACATTGTCAGCCTTATCATTTGGATTCATTTGGTATGGCCGTGTGCAGCCAAGGGCACTCGCGAGGAAACCCAAAAGCACAGCTATACCAAGCAGGGCTGCTGCAGCAGAAGATCCAATCGTCACACTTGCAGCAGCAGCTCCCTCGAGCAGCACGAGGCCTCCACCACCACATCACACCACACAGACACATACGAAAAAGATCGAAACATACACGGCAAAGAATAGACCTGGACCAAGAGCACCAATGTAGAGAATATGACCTCTGTTGGAAAGCCGCGCACGTCATCTACTACCATTTCATTATTTTTTGGTTTATTCCCCACATCTTTGTGTGGGGTTCTTGTTTTTGGTTGTGCACTTCCGCCTGCCCCTGCCGTCCTACATGACACCCGCCCGCCCGACCCACCCACACACAACTTGTTGCTCACACACAACTTGACCACACACAAACTCACACACAACTTACTCACACACACAACTTGTCCACACACAACTTACTCACACACACAACTTACTCACACAAACTTACTCACACACAACTTACTCACACACAATTTGTCCACACACAACTTACTCACACGCAACTTACTCACGCAAACTTACCCACACACACACACAGCTTGTCCACACACAACTTACTCTCACACACAACTTACTCACACACACACAACTTGTCCACACACAACTTGTCACCACACAGCTTGCTCACACACAACATGTTCACAACACAACTTGCTCACACACAACTTGACCACACACAAACTCACACACACACACAACTTACTCACACACAACTTGTCCACACACAACTTACTCACACACACAACTTACTCACACAAACTTACTCACACACTTGGCGACATCGACCGTCACTTTGCGTGGCGGGCGTGGCACTTGGTGACATCGATGGTCACTTTGCGTGGCAAGCGTGGCACTTGGTGACATGGACGTGCATTCTGCGTGGCAGGCGTGGCACTTGGCAACATGGACGTGCATTCTGCGTGGCAGGCGTGCCACTTGGTCACATCCACCTTCGTTTTGCGTGGCAGCCGTCGCACTTATGGCACTGGGCCGGCTCTGGTGGCGCGCCTGCAGGTTCCCAGTTGACGCCGTGGACGCCGCGGCTCTATGCGTGGCAGGCGTGGCACTTGGCGACATCGACCGTCACTTTGCGTGGCAAGCGTGCTCTGGTGGCGCGCTTGGTTCCCAGTTGACGCCGTGGACGCCGCTGCTCTTTGCATGGCAGGCCTGGCACTTATCATACTGGGCTGGCTCCGGTATTGCGCTTGGGTTGGGTTTGGCGCAGTGGTCGCCGCCGCCATTTGCGTGGCAGGCGTGGCACTTCGCGACATCGACCTTCACTTTGCGTGGCAGGCGTGGCACTTGGCGACATGGACGTGCATTCTGCGTGGCAGGCGTGGCACTTATGGCACTGGGCTGGCTGGGTTTGGCGCCGTGGTCGCCGCTGCCGTTTGCATGGCAGGCGTGGCACTTCGCGACATCGACCTTCACTTTGCATGGCAGGCGTGGCACTTATCGTACTGGGCTGGCTCCTGTGGCGCGCTTGGGTTGGGTTTCGCGCCGTGGTCGCCGCCGCCGTTTGCGTGGCAGGCGTGGCACTTATGGCACTGGGCTGGCTCTCACACCATCCTTGACACACCACTTTGTCACACACCATCTTTCACACACAGCTTTGTCACACACCATCTTTGACACACCACTTTGTCACACACCATCTTTCACACACCATCTTTGTCACACCACTTTGTCACACACCATCTTTCACACATCATCTTTCACACACAACTTTGTCACACCCCATCTTTCACACACCGTCACAGACCATCTGTTACACACCATCTTTCACACACACACACAACTTTGTCACACACCATCTTTCACACACAACTTTGTCACACCCTCTTTTTCACACACAACTTTCACACACACTACCTTTCACACACAACTTTGTCACACCCTCTCTTTCACACACAACTTTCACACACACTACCTTTCACACACAACTTTGTCACACACCATCTTTGACACACCATCTTTGACACACGATCTTTCACACACCACTTTGTCACACACCATCTTTGACACACCATCTTTCACACACATCATCTTTCACACACAACTTTGTCACACACCATCTTTCACACACCACTTTGTCACACACCACTTTGTCACACACCATCTTTCACACCACTTTTTCACACACCATCTTTCACACACCTCTTTGTCACACACCATCTTTGACACACCATCTTTCACACCACTTTGTCACACACCATCTTTCACACACCGTCACAGACCATCTTTCACACCCCATCTTTCACACACCACTTTGTCACACACAATCTTTGACACACCATCTTTCACACACAACTTTGTCACACACCATCTTTCACACACCGTCACAGACCATCTTTCACACACCATCTTTCACACACACACCATCTTTCACACACACACACACACAACTTTGTCACACACCGTTTTTCCTCCGCCTCCTCCTTTGTCTTTCCTTCCTTCCCCGTCCCCGCTGCAACATTTGTTGCTCATTATTGGAAGAAGTTGACTTGTGGGGTTATCCGGTCCATTAATTTATTTTTTTTTGAGTGGATGTGCAGCACGGCTCGAGAAATCGAAGCAGCCACTCGGCCACTCGGCCACTCAGAGTGGCTGAGTGGCTGAGTGGCTGGTCCAGCCACTTCTCCATACAGCTAATCCGCCACTAGTGAAAGGAAATTTGTCATCGGCCACTCAGCCACTCAGCCAGAGAGTGGCTGCCGCAGCCATTCAGCCACTCTACGTAACTTAAGTCCCGTAAAGTTTTTCACTACACACATTGTCTGTGGCATGACGTCGCGGCGTCTGAATTTGTTTTGGCGGCATCTGAATTTATATTCTTTGCTGGCTCCGTTTCGCGATGATGTTAGTTATTTGTATGTAGTGTTTCAACACGCTATGGGCCAAACCACATTCGAATTCTACCATTTTCTTTTCCACAGTTTAGACAAAGAAATATATACATACGTATACACATTGAACACAAAATCATCATGATTGATCTTTCGGTCAATGTGAACGCCACTGCTTTTGCTTTCATCCTTATTTGCTAGTAGTTTTCTGGCAAAGTATTGAATCGAATGTCTGCCGTCGGATGGACGAAAGTCCCTCAGAAAGAGAGGGAGGGATGGAAACGAAAATACTTTCGATTTTTTCCTGATTCTTCAAAGTTGGATGCATCCCGTTTTTTTTGAAAATAAACTCAGCAGTTACCAGCTGAAGGGGTGTGCCCGGTAATGAAACTAACCACTAACAGTTTGCATCAATTTGCAACATAGACCCTCACCATTTTGTACACAAATCGTCGAACTAGATGGGCCATGCAATAGCAGTCCATAGCACACAATGGAATGACCATAATTTGCCAAAGGGATAGAAAAGGTCTTAAAAAATATATATATAATATTATATAACATTATATAACTATATAAATATAATCTATTTCATAACATACATATATGAAAACATTGGAACTATAACCAGATGTATCATTCCTTTCGCCATGATGATCCGCAGAGACCCACAGAGCGAACCCCTGACCTGAGGCGATCACCACTGCTGATCAAAAAGAAAAACAACGGCAGCAAGTGACTAACAGAAAATTGCTTTCGTAGGTTATCTGTGGTCTCAAACACATCGACGTATCCAAAATATTCGAAAATTAATCTAGCACCATCGACCACAGAGTGCTCTGACTAAGATTGAGCATTGGAGTAGCCCGGTCCAAGATTAATTGTCTTGATGGTGGTGTGCTGCTTCTCCAACTCTTAACAACGAAGGATGCCACGTTCCCTTATATAATGTTCGTAAAGATTTAGGTGCATATAATATTTTTTATCAACGCAACTTCATGCCAATAAATAATCGCATGTTGGTTCGACCATGTTTGTCCCTTTGATGCCGGTATCAATATATCATGTTGGCAGGCCTGTCAAGAATGACTAATGACTTCTCTCTCACAACCCTTTAACACAGATGTTTGCCTGAGAATGCATTCAACCCATAAGAATATATGCCCCAGTGCCTGCATAGATAAAAGAAATTAAAAGAAGGGACCCTAAACTAACATAAAACCTCACTTGAGATACAATCAAACAAAACGCATACTTTCAAAGACATTACACACATTGACTCAGACCCAAGAAAAATTAGGTCTGGGTAATGCTGCTTACACTCCACTGGATTAGCTGCACTAGCTATTCATCCACTGAGACACTCTGCCAGAGTGGCTGCCGCAGCCGCTCTGCCAGAGTGGCTGAGTGGCTGGGCTGTAAATTTCCGCCATTGCGCACTCAATCTTTTTTTAAAACTTATCTGCTTAATCATTATGTTTTCTGATTTATCGCACGAAGATTGCGACTGGCTGCTGCGTGCTGCCGAGCTTAGTGGCACCGCTTTTGCAGCTACGATACCTTTTTGCAGGATTATCAGCCCTATCGCGGCTTGTAGCCATGCCATCATATGATCATATGCATGTCAGCGTGAGTATCTGTGCACTCTAACTCTGGTGTCAGAATGGAAAACAACAGATCATCATAAGTGCCCGTGTGAAGTTAAGAGAACAATGAACTATGTATTGACTGTTGCATCTCCAGTTTCAGAAAATTTCAGATTGGCCAATTTGACTTTTAATTGATTCCGTTTAGAAAACAATTTAAACATCAAGCTACCATTTGTGGGTTTTCCTCTCTAATAATAAAACTAGTAAACCCCGGGGTGTTTATTATTAGGGTCCGTCCGATTTTTTTTATTTTATTTTTTTTATATTAGGGTTTTTAATTTAGTATTAGGGGGAAGCTTCGAAATCCAGTTTTTGGCAATATTTTAATTGCGTTATATAAAGAAATTTAATTGATTTTGAAATCGGAAAAAGTAGTTTTTATTATTAAGGGTTTTAATTTAATATTAGGGGGAAGCTTCGAAATCCAATTTTTGGCAATATTTCAATTGCGTTATATAAAGAAATTTAATTGATTTTGAGATCCGAAAACTAGTTTTTAATTATTAAGGGTTTTAATTTAATATTAGGGGGAAGCTTCGAAATCCAATTTTTTGGCAATATTTTAATTGCGTTATATAATAAAGAAATTTAATTGATTTTGAGATTGGAAAAAATATGAAAAAATAGTTTTTACTATTAAGGGTTTAATTTTATTAATCGAAGGAAGTTTAGAAGTGAAACTTCCGACAACATGGACAGTTGAAAAGCAGAGGTGAGAAGAGTCAGAAGAGAAAAGATCAGAAGAAAGAAGAGGTAGATGCGCGAAAAGATAGGAAAGTCGCGATTCACTGTGTTTTTCCAATGATTTGTGGCTCCGGAGGGTCGAAAAGTAGGCTCTCTAAAGCAGCGGGTGCGGAGCCAGCTGGCCAGATGAGACATGAAAAAGTGCACGCCGTTGTGGCGCGAAGCACATTTCCAAGTCAAAATGGACAAAACACTAGAGGAGCGGACCACTTTTGGAAGTTGAGATGTCGAAAAAGTGCACACCGTTGTGGCGCGAAGCACATTTTGAAGTCAAAATGTACAAAACACACCATTCTCGGACCACTTTTGGAAGTTGAGATGTCGAAAAAGTGCACGCCGTTGTGGCGCGAAGCACATTTCCAAGTCAAAAGTGTTAACAACTGACGGTCTCGGACCACTTTTGGAGGTTCAGATGTCGAAAAAGTGTCGAAAAAGTGCACGCCGTTGTGGCGCGAAGCACATTTCGAAGTCAAAAGTGTAAAAAACTGAGGGTTTTGAGCCTTTTTTGACGTGAAGATGTCGAAAAAGTAGACGCTGATTAACTTAACTAACTTGACTAACTTAACTAACTTCACTAACTTAACTATCCTAACTTCGACGACAACAGCAACAGCAACAGCAACAACAACAACAACAACACCAACCACAACAACTACAACTACAACAACTACACAACAACTACAACTAGAACTACAACTAGAACTACAACTACAACAACAACAGCAACAACAACAACAGCAACAACAACAACAACAACTACAACTACAACTACACAACAACTACAACTAGAACTACAACTACAACAACTACAGCTACAACAACAACTACTACTACTACTACTACTACAGCAACAACAACAACTACAACTACAACAACAACAACTACTACTACTACTACAACTACAACAACTACAGCTACAACTACAACTACAACTACACTACACAACAACTACAACCACACAACAACTACAGCTACAACTACAACAACAACAACTACAACAACTACAACTACAAAACAACTACAGCTACAACTATATGACTGCAACTACACTACACTAATTACATTACACCACAACTACAACTCCACTATGCTACAACTACAACTACAGTTGCAGTACATCACACTACATCCAGCAGTTGTGGGTGAGGTGACCACTGCAACCATTGCAACCATTCCAGCAAACACAACTCCAACCACCTTTCGGTCAATCAGTGGATTCGCTCTGCCATCCGTGATTCACAATAATCAATCTCTCCTATAGGTTTCCTATTTTTGAAACTTCCGCCACCGCCTTGTGCGGTACTACTGGTAGGGTTCCCTAATAATAAATACCACCCTAATACTAAAAACATACTAAAAACATCTAAAAACTACCTGCCGTGTTTATGGGGGACGTTTAGTATTAGGAGGAAGGGATTAGGCCATGTGTAGGCCATGTGTAGACCATGTGTAGGCCATGTATGCATGCAACGCCATGTAAATGCAATGATGCCGGCCTGATGGAAGAGACCGTCAAGGTGATACAACTAGAGCGGAGATGAGAGCTACCTTACAATTAGTTACAGTTCATTACGTCAAGCCTTCAGCTGCTTAGATATTTGTGCGCGTACATTACAATGCAAGCCATCAAAACATTAGAAGAATTGCAGCACACCAGAGCACAACTAAAACTGCTGCGAGTCATCAGCCCGCTAAGGGGGAGCCAAGTCAAGCATCATCCAAGGAACAGTGCTTAGCCTTCACACCACTCGCGGAGCTTGTCTCATATTATACTCTGTTGGACTCTACAAGCAGAAAAAAAAACTTGCCAAGAAAGAGCTGGAAGTAAATGTACGCTTGCGAGCAGGACACGCACTTGAAGAAAAACCCGTATATAGAAGACATTGATGAAAGGCAACGGATTAACATAAGAAGTGCACAGTAGATGAAAAGCGCGTCCTGTGCCTGTGCATGAAAGACAGAATCACACTTGACACAGGGAAAAGAAGTGGCCCAAGGCGGCCTTATTCGCATGCAACAACACCAAAAAAATCAAAAAAATAATATCAAATCAGTCACATCATGCAAGACAAGAAGGTGTTATATACTGGTGTCATCAATGTCATCTCAATGTCGTCATTTGCAGGACCTCTATGGACCTCTAGCCACGAACCGGAAATGAAACTACCCGAACTACCCCCTCTGACCCGGCACCCTGCCGGACATTTGTGTCCGCGCCAACTGGGAATCAACAGAATCAAATATTAATCAACTATTAATCAAAAATATATTGCACTCTGGACTTGTATCATCTCCCATCCCCAGCATTTGTATACATTTCACATCATTTCACTACATTTCCATAGATTGCCATCTCTTTTCCATACATGGAAACTAATTTTCTTGATCAGGATAAGGCAGAGAGAGGCGCGCCTTGAAGGAGTCGCGAACTCAAAGGCCTCATATCGAGCTTGAGCTCGCAGCACTCTTCCTTGGGACTTGCTTCCTGAGGGAACAACTTGGCAGACTTGCATCAAGTCACAAAAGGCTAAAAAAAGAATGCAGATAGGATGAAGAGAGGGCACAGTCCCACTATGGTCCACTGAAGATTTCCCACCATGATCGGCACTGATCGACCATCTGTTTTGAATGCTTCGAGTGGCTGGTGGCTCTACAGTCAGGTCAAAGCCAAAGCCAGGTCACTTGAAGAGGGAAAACAAGCACGACCAGCCAAACGGAAATTTATCACGATACAATGCGATACACAGCAATTTGCAATAATTTTCAGGTCAGTGCAGCCTAAGCGTCACTCCACGAAGGCAACTCTGGGTCAGGAGCACCTTGGATGTGAGATACTTCAGCTCCCTAGTTGCATCACATGAGCGGCGATTTATTATCTGGGACCAGATAAAATATTTTTTGGCGTGACATGTTCTGCTCTCACATGTTCTTGTAGGGGCCGCAACGAGCTGCGGCACAATCCTCACGGGTTTTACATGGCATTACTTTGATGCCTTAATCCGGCTTTGCTGAGCGCCATCTGCTGCAGATTCGTGCATCAGCAATTTAGTGTCTAGCGGGACCAATTAGATCTGGCTCCCACTGGTTTTCGAATACTTTCCACCTGGCCTTGTGTGTCATCATAAAACGAGGCTCGTCGCACAGTCAGACGCGTTGGAGCCGCATATCGCAACCGAAGGGAGTCGCTAGCTTCTCCCCACCTGTACATCCCGTCGCAAGGCAATGCAGTGGTCTCCTGCTTTTCATTTCCGTTCTCACTTGATCTCTCTCTCTCCCTCCCTCTTTTTTCGAGATGAAATTACAATGGTGATCTGATCAATGTATAATTTTGCAAAGCAGCTGGTTCCAAGCAGAAGCCACCAGGGTGATTGCTTCTCCATTCTCTTTGCCGCGCGCCGAGATCGGCTGCATCACCAACAGGTGGCCGTGCTGGCAAACCTTCGGCATGCGGAGTGCGTTCAGCAGTGTGTGTGTGTGGGGGGGGGCGGAGCTGGCCCGCTCATTTCTTCATTTCTTGCCCCATGAAGTTCAGCAATGATGATGGTTTGCAACTGGACAAGGGTGTATATCATAGTTGTCAACAGTTGAGAGTTTGCACTATTGTCTCACTCCATCAACTTTGTCGCATTTGCCCATGCCTGCCACCGGTTGCACGAGGACCTGGTCTGGTCACCTCGCTCATAAGTCTCGGAGACTGTTGAAAGCTGTCCCATCTGGATTCTCGGACTGGTATCTGCTAAAATCATCTCATTCATACGCATCCACCTTTCTGTTGGCACACAGAGCTTCCGAACTTGCAACCCGTCCATGGAACATGGCAATTTATTGTACATGGGCCTGGACTATTTAGAGTAGAATGGCTTCCGTCGAGAAACTATGAATGATTTGGTCCTGGATCTTGTTTGACAGGGAGCGATGCAAGGAGAACACATGGGAAGGCTAAATGATTTTGTGAAGGGAAGGGCAGAAGCTCCGGACTTGTGGACTAGGAGCATTGCCAGTTGGTGCTGTGCAAGTCCCTAGGCTATACTGAGCATATTAATCCGTCTGTGAATGAGTGAAAATTCCGTGACACCTGTCATAAAAAATGCTCTGGGACTCTCTAGGGATCTCTAGGGCCTCTAGGGAGACTAAACTGACAAACTCACAAATACGGACAAACTGACAGTGGTAAAAAAAAATACTAGTTTTACTATTATTATATAATATTATATACTATTGCTATAACTTATAAGTGATTATTATTATTATCACTATTATTATTATATTATTATATATTGTTATTATATCATTATCATATTATTAATATATTATCACTATATCATTATTATTAATTATATATCATCATCATTATTATTATTATTAAATTATTATCATCATTATTACATTATTATCATTAGTGTTATGGTTTCGGCTTCTTAGGTATGTACATCATTGTACATCTGACCATCGTCACTGCGGGCCATGTGGCTAGTCAAGCAAGATTTGGCGCAAGTCCAATGACAAATGGATGGGAGCCATGGCAACACCTCAGACACAATAAAAGGGCGCTGTCACTGTGAGTTTGCAATCTTCTCCTGATTTTTGCTGACAGCGAAAATGCAGTTCAACTCAAAAAGTCAAGCCCATTCAAGTCCCACAAATGCCAAAATATCCTTTTGCATCCTTTTGCTGCAAAAAATATTAACGAATGCTGCATGTGAAGAAAGGTAAAGAAACGTAAAAGAACACTTTACCAGTACAGCACAAGTAGGTGCCAAACGGACTGGCGGCCCAGCAGCGGCGCATGGCCGCTTTGCTTGCTTCTGGCAAGCAGCCACTGATGGCGCCTGACAAAACTTATAAAACAATTCCAACATGTTTCAACATGCTTGATTAAACAGCTGTGGCAATCACGTGCAAGATATGCAAGCACCATACTCAGCATGTGTTCGAACTTTTGCTCCTTTCTACTATATCTATATCTCCCTTATTTTAGATGCAAGAACAAATCCGCAATATCATCCAGCTGAAATCTTTCTGCATGCCAACATCAACCCTTCGCAAAACAGGAGAACCATGGAGAAACAATTGACAATCTGAACCGGGCACTTGCGCAGCCAGGGAAGTTCGCCTTAGCTCAACTATAATCAACTTAAGCTGCCAAGAAAAAACACGTAGAAATAATGCATGAAGTGAACTCGATCATCGATATATTCGATATATCTTGATATCATCGATTTAGCAACAACAAATTCATTATAAATTATATATGTTTTTTTCAAATATCCAATTTGGCAGCCAAGAGACACAGTAGACGATGTGGATCTGATAGGATCGAAACGGAAGTGCGCAAAGCTAGGCCTGCTGACAAAGCTGCCAAGGCACCAAAGGCCAAGGGCAAGAATCGCAGCGACCTTAGAGATCTTAGAGATCTTAGAGATCTTAGAGACTTAGAGTTGGTCCGTGTCGGTCCGATCTCATTGGGCAAACAAGGTCTCATGCCACAAGAATGTTCACACAATTTCACACATGTTAACATTATGGCACGTGCTAGTTGGAATTGTATGGATTTGTACGGATTTGCGTCCTTCATTACATGTCTTGACTCCCTCAGAAACTGAACCACAGGCTAAACATTCAGCCGAGCGTCAACTGGCATTGCATAGGTGTCTCCAGAATGCTGACTGCCGTAAAGTTATCACCTGGTTGACCAAGTGTGTAAAACTTGCAAACTAAACATGTTTCACCCTGACACCTTTTGCATCGCTTTCGCGCGGGCCAAGCGAATGACACATGTTGTTGGAACTTGGCATCGGTTTCTTCTTGATAATGTAATCACCGGGGATGGGGATGTGCATGTGCGTCTGCGTATATATATATATAATTATATATTATTATATATTCATATGTGCATTTATATTTATAAAAGATGTGCCACATGACAATGCGGTGTAATATGTCTTATACATAATTCAGTTATGCAATACAATCATGTAATGTTATATATTTATATACATTTATATCATTTATTATATACACATAAAACTTAGCTTGGCTGAACACAAAGCCAGTCGTTAGCTGATACGCTGCAAGGTTCACACACAACATGACACTGTTTACAGTACAGGGGCAATCATCTGCGCCGTGGACTCAATGCCTTTCCATTTCTCACAGTCAACACAGGCCAAACATGCCCAAACAAATTAAACAAATTAAACAATACTAAACACCCTTTGCTTCCATTCTGTCTTGCCACAGTTGATGCCAGCCTATATCACTGTCTTCCAAGTTGGTGCTTGAAGAAAACAACGTGGATGTAGAGCTGCTGGTTTGTACCTGGTACAGTAGGGGCGTGGAATATATAGAAATACACAGAACATATCAACGACACAATTTAGAACATATTCAGACATACTGGTATGAGTAGAACTCACTGTAATCAATATTGCGCGAGGATGACATGATGTCACCCCGCCACAGCAAAGTATAGACGTATAGACCGTATAGAGTCTATAGAGGCAAGAAAGAAATAAATTCGCTGCGGCCTGCATTGCGGAGCTTGTCGTTGAAGAGGCCAAGAAATCACTGCTTTGCCTTGAAGTAGAGGAAAAGACGATAACTCTGGGATTTGACACCTGGGTGCATCAAGGCAATGGAGAGAGGCCTCAAGGAGGACGGAAACGTCAAATTAGGCACACCAACAGGGTCGTCAAAGAGAAATGGCAATGGCGGACCCCAGATCGTGAAGCATGGAGGAACTTTTCAGATGCTTAAGATGCACAAGCAAACCCAAACGCAAACGCAAAAGCAGCAGTTACTGCAGGACAATGTGGCCACTTGACAGTGTGAGAAGATCACTCCGGAAATGAACTAATGGCCGACATGGCACCTCTCCACAACTATGTCTCCACGATTCTCCACGCAAACACTATTGCATGATGATAGTTGCATGATAGTCTGATACTTCTGACATGTTGTGACCAAGGCTCGTAGCGGAAATGATGGCTTGACATGGTGATGAGGAGGAGAGCAATCGCTATGACAATGGTCATGAAGAAGGCTATGGATGGCTATGGCATGTGGCAACGATGATTGCAAGCATGAGTGCAATACTGGCAAGACTTGTACTGGCAAGCTTCCACTGCTTCCCTGCGACACTGCGACTTCTATAGCAGTCTACTCGATTATTAGACATTATTAGACTTGTATAGACTTGTTAGATCTCGTTAGCACTGCCAAGTGATCCAAGTGGTAAGGCATCTGGCACTGTTTCATATCTTTCAACTGAGTCTCGTTGGCGGTCTGTACGGTCACCTCCTCCACCTGCGCACGGGGAAAGCTGCACCAGACAATACCAGTGGCTTGTGACACCATGACGCCTGTCATTCAGTGTCATTCAGTATCATATCTGGAGTTGTGATGAGTTGTATGCATCTTCCACGATTAGCTATTATATAATTTTATGCAAATCTATGCAAATCTGGCAACTTTATCGAAATGCCTGGAAGGCTTGTGCCCAAGGAAGCTCAGAAAGCAGCGATTCAGGTGGACCTGGCTGAACGTCTGAAGGTGGAACAAGCATCAGAGTATCGGGTTCCCAAATCAGGAGTATGATCTTGACAGTACAGGCCCGGAGACAGAAACTGTCTTTCGAACTAGTTTGCACTCGATCTTTTGAAAAGAATGGAGAGGCAGCACCCTGTGGCTGGTAAAAAGATGAAAAAGGCAGAGTTATGATGAGTCATGGTGAGTGGCACTGCCAAAATCGGCCAACATAATGCAGACCGATGTAGCATTCAGCTAAAAATGAATATATATATATATATAATATACACAATTATACACATACTAATATGTGTGTGTGGGTCAAGGCAAAGGTGAAAACTGGCAGGACTGGACGCAAGGCACAAGAGTAATCCATAGACCCAGATTCAAATCAAGAAACAGGCTGGACCATGATCACGATTCACGTACCCACCCATTGACATGCAAGACAGCTGCTATCAGAATCAACCAAGCAAGGGTGGTGAGTATATGTGCAACAAGCCTCCGCATCCCAAAATGCGAAGGGAAGGGGTCTGCGCGCCTCTGGCCAAGGCAGCTGCCACGTCATCTGCAGACGAGGTGTCTCCTGCAAGATGAATTAATATAAGACATGAAAATGGACGAGGAACTTGTATAGTCTTGTATGATCTCATATTGCACTGTGGAGTGTAGTCAGCCACGGGAAAGTGTAGCTTCTTGTCTGGCCTGGTGTTGCATCGGGCACCCGCACGCCAAAGTCGACGGATACCTCTATCCTTCCAGCCCAACAGAATGCCACAGGCTGCTAGTACTTGGATCCCATTCCTTCATGCAGAAAAAGATAAACAACATAATGTAGAAAAAACATGAAAGGCTAATGAAAGGCATGAAAAAGCGTTTAAAAAATGCAATTGGATTGTCAAGTAAAATGCGCTCCCAAAATCCACACGTTGCCCCACTGCCTTTGGGTAGCTAGTCGCCGGCCAGCACCCAATCGTCTGGGTAACGCCACGATATCCTGAAATTGGAGCTTCAATTCTGGAGTTTCAATTTGGGACAGCTGCTGCGTGATGTCTTATTTTCGCTTTTTTTTTCTCTCTCTCTCTCTCTCTCTGTCTGTCTGTCTTTCCTTTCCTTTCCTTCTTTCTTTCTGTCTCTCTCTCTCCCTCTCCCTCCATGTGTATGCCGACCAAGAAACCACGCGAAGGATGTCAACCTCAGACTCAGCAGGAAAATGAAGGGAGAGACTAGATGCCAATCTGTTTAGCAGATTTCTGTTTGAACCCACTGGAGCTGGGATTGTCTGGCATTGCAAGCATGTCCCGATCATGCACATTGAAGTGCGTGACAAACTAGCTGATGCAATGGTAAGTGCTGATCCAAACTTACATATCTTCAATCCAAGCGTCATGTTTGGCTTCCACACCTGTACAGGTGCAAGGCGAGTGGAACAAGGCGGAAAAGCTGCTGAGTTCTACAGCTACCAGCAAAGGCGCCACGTAAACTATATAATATAATTGTGCTTGATTGTGCTTGGCTTCCTTGAAGGCCAACTTCTTCGCACATCCGTGCAATGTATTGCAATACTTACTCCAGTGAAACTTCTGGAACTACCTTCCGCAGAGGCAGCATAGCCCATGCCACCCAAGTCAACCGTGGCAAGTGCAGCAAGTGCAGCAAGTGCAGCAAGTGAAGCAAGTGCAGCAAGTGCACAGTGCAGCGGCAAGGGCAGTGGCAAGTGCAGCAGCATGTGGCAACACCTGTGGCGCATCTCCCTCTCCCTCTCATTCCCCCTCTCTCTCTCTCTCTCTCTCTCTCTCTCTCGCGCTCGCTCTCTTTCCCTGAATCTGGTGCTGAGCGGAGATACCTGTGCATCAAGTTACAAGTCATCAAGTGTGCATGTCAAGATCATGCAGCCGTGGATGCTGTGGTTGGTAGCGCCTCCACTTCTGCTGATAGCTGCAATGAGCAAAGAACGGACACCCTGAAGTTGGCACAAGCGGAAATTGTAGTCTTTGCAACCCTTTACACATTGCATTGTTTTAGTGTGCCCAAGTATTCTCTGTCCTTCGCCTGTTTGTGTTGGTACTATATATAATACAATCAGCAACTGCTGTGACCTTCCATCAACCATGGCTTAGCATTATGGCTGCTCGTACTGTAGGGGAGAAAGGAACACGAAATCAAACTGGAGAAAAGATCTGAACAGCACAGAGGCGAGTGAAGTGCTGTCAATCAACTGTCTGATTCTAATTTCGTGTCGGACCGCCTCCCAGCGTGATAAGATGCTTTCGAGTCATCTATGACTGCATCAGGTGAAACTGGACAATAATTGCCGAGGCAACCCCTTGTGCGGACACTTGGAGTTTTAAGACTTGCTCATTGAATCTTATTGAGATGTTGTAAGTAAGTGTCAGGGCCTCGGGCTAGGGCTTCAGACCTGCTTGTGGGGCTGGAGACTTGGGCATGTTATCAGATCTGTTTTCAGCAGTGTGACAGCATGGGACAGCCATCAGGGAAGACCAAAAAAGAGGTGGGGAACCTTTTCACACAGTCCTTCTGGGCATAGCGCAGGGGACTGGCAAATCGGGACGAAGCATTTCCAACAAGGAGATTATGATAATGTGGGGTCACAGAATGTCATCTTAGGGGATGTATCGGCAATGTATCATTGAAGATCATTGACGTGTTTGAACAGTGTTGAGGTATGGGAACTGCCAGTCTGTGGTCTCCGGGAGTTGGGCTCTGGCTGAGACCGAAGGATAAATGAAGAAACAAACTCAGGTCCGCAGGCACAAACGATGGTCCACCCAAGGAGAAACGGCTAAACAGTACCAAACAACACATCTACTGCCGGTAAATGGTGCGAAGACGTTCAAAATCAATCGCACGTAATTGCAATAGCAAGACGGTCAAACAAACGGTATCAATATACTCTACTACTGCATGACAGGGCCCCAAACGCCAGTCTAAAGCCATATGGTATGCATGAGAAGTATTGAGAAGTATCGTATCATTCAAAGTACCCTGTGGGAAGTATGATAGCGATGTGGGAAAGACAATTGTCTTCTTCACGGACAGTCTGCAGAGACTAATTCAATAGACTGCTCATGGTTGCGGAGTATGTAGAGACTAGAAGCCCAAGATTTGGCCGTGGTTTCCGGATGTTTCCGGTACATTACTAGGTACCAGAAAAAACCCATGACATTCAGATGCATGTGCCCATCCATCCATTCATCTTTTATCCATTCGCTCATGTGATTGGGCAAAAAAAAAACAAATCGATAAACAAGAAAGAGCCACTCCATAAATGAAGGCTTCACACATATAGTCTTACATGGATTTGAAATGACCTGTGTGTAGGGAAATATATTGTATAATATTGTATATTATATGGATGTATGTGGGGATATATATATATATATAGGGAATGCCATGGAGTGCCCATGGATGTCCGCGACTTGCAGCTTGATGGCCTCCTCTTGTGCAAGGTCCGAAAGGGAGAGGCCGAAGTCAGCAGAAATTGAAAGACCCAAAGTCAAAGTTCCTACATCGGCAGTGGCTGTCAGCAAAGAGGGGAACTCATGACGATGACGGCAGCATCTCCACCGATCAATGAACCCTCTGCTTCGCATTAAGACGATGAATGAAAGACGGTGAAAAACCAAATGATTCTGTCATCATGTGTGTCATCATCTTAGTTTGCTCTCATGATCAAGCAGACTTCCACGAATTCACTTTGACTTTCCGCCAGATTCCTACGCACATTGTCTACACCCCATTGATTCCCATTGTACATCTTGAAGTCTTAAACATTCCTCAATTACAGAAACAACCCAATGCCGCTGCAGGCGGCACACCAAAAACAAAGACTTCTCCACTGATGTTGGCCGAACTGTTCAATCCTTGGCTTGACTCAGCTCCACAAATAATCCATAATAATCCGATGTCAACAATTCTTACTTCAAACATCTTCAAACTGTAACTGAATGCAGCCCAGACGCCAGAAAGAGAAGGCCACTCCACCTCAGGGCACACAACACACAGGCTGGCAGTTTTGCTTTGGCTGCAATGCGCCAATTCACTGGCACTTCACAATAATCGAAGCTCTACAAGCCCAACCCGGAACCCATCGACAGGTTGCCCAATAACCTTGCCTGTGTCTCATTGGAGGCATTGTCTTCAGAGATATTTGCATCAAAAACAAGGCTGCTCTGATTCTCTTCAAGCTCAATCTCATCTGACTTTTCCGATGCGGTCTCATTTTCCAAGAGCAATGGCCCTTCTGAGGCGTTCAGTGCAAGAGAACCATTGGCAGAAACACTCTGGTTTTCGTTTTCATCGAGCATCTCCCACAAACTCGAATTGTCAGACTTGTCAGCAACTGAAGCATTCAATTCCGAACTGTTGTCGACACTCTCGGCATCATTTGCTGTCTCATTCAAGCCAATTGTACCTGCACCCACCGCATCAACTGTCTCGTTGGATGCATTGTCTTCAGAGATATTTGCATCAAAAACAAAGCTGCTGCTCTCGTTCTCTTCTAGCTCAATCTCATCTGACTTTTCCGATGCGCTCTCATTTTCCAAGAGCAGTGGCCCTTCTGAGACGTTCAGTGCAAGAGAACCATTGGCAGAAACACTCTGATTTTCGTTTTCATCGAGCATCTCCCACAAACTCGAATTGTCAGACTTGTCAGCAACTGAAGCATTCAATTCTAAACTGTTGTCGACACTCTCGGCATCATTTGCTGTCTCATTCAAGCCGATTGTACCTGCACCCACCGCATCAACTGTCTCGTTGGATGCATTGTCTTCAGAGATATTTGCATCAAAAACAAGGCTGCTCTCGTTCTCTTCTAGCTCAATCTCATCTGACATTTCCGGTGCGCTCTCATTTTCCAAGAGCAGTGGCCCTTCTGAGACGTTCAGTGCAAGAGAACCATTGGCAGAAACACTCTGATTTTCGTTTTCATCGAGCATCTCCCACAAACTCGAATTGTCAGACTTGTCAGCAACTGAAGCATTCAATTCCGAACTGTTGTCGACACTTCCAGCATCATTTGCTGTCTCATTCAAGCCGATTGTACCTGCACCCACCGCATCAACTGTCTCGTTGGATGCATTGTCTTCAGAGATATTTGCATCAAAAACAAGGCTGCTCTCGTTCTCTTCAAGCTCAGTCTCATCTGACTTTTCCGATGCGCTCTCATTTTCCAAGAGCAGTGGCCCTTCTGAGACGTTCAGTGCAAGAGAACCATTGGCAGAAACACTCTGGTTTTCGTTTTCATCGAGCATCTCCCACAAACTCGAATTGTCAGACTTGTCAGCAACTGAAGCATTCAATTCTGAACTGTTGTCGACACTCTCGGCATCATTTGCTGTCTCATTCAAGCCGATTGTACCTGCACCCACCGCATCAACTGTCTCATTGGATGCATTGTCTTCAGAGATATTTGCATCAAAAACAAGGCTGCTCTCGTTCTCTTCAAGCTCAGTCTCATCTGACTTTTCCGATGCGCTCTCATTTTCCAAGAGCAGTGGCCCTCCTGAGACGTTCAGTGCAAGAGAACCATTGGCAGAAACACTCTGGTTTTCGTTTTCATCGAGCATCTCCCACAAACTCGAATTGTCAGACTTGTCAGCAACTGAAGCATTCAATTCTGAACTGTTGTCGACACTTCCGGCATCATTTGCCGTCTCATTCAAGCCGATTGTACCTGCACCCACCGCATCAACTGTCTCGTTGGATGCATTGTCTTCAGAGATATTTGCATCAAAAACAAGGCTGCTCTCGTTCTCTTCAAGCTCAATCTCATCTGACTTTTCCGATGCGCTCTCATTTTCCAAGAGCAGTGGCCCTTCTGAGACGTTCAGTGCAAGAGAACTATTGGCAGAAACACTCTGGTTTTCGTTTTTATCGAGCATCTCCCACAAGCTCGAATTGTCAGACCTGTCAGCAACTGAAGCATTCAATTCTGAACTGTTGTCGACACTCTCGGCATCATTTGCTGTCTCATTCAAGCCGATTGTACCTGCACCCACCGCATCAACTGTCTCGTTGGATGCATTGTCTTCAGAGATATTTGCATCAAAAACAAGGCTGCTCTCGTTCTCTTCTAGCTCAATCTCATCTGACATTTCCGGTGCGCTCTCATTTTCCAAGAGCAGTGGCCCTTCTGAGACGTTCAGTGCAAGAGAACCATTGGCAGAAACACTCTGATTTTCGTTTTCATCGAGCATCTCCCACAAACTCGAATTGTCAGACTTGTCAGCAACTGAAGCATTCAATTCTGAACTGTTGTCGACACTTCCGGCATCATTTGCTGTCTCATTCAAGCCGATTGTACCTGCACCCACCGCATCAACTGTCTCGTTGGATGCATTGTCTTCAGAGATATTTGCATCAAAAACAAGGCTGCTCTCGTTCTCTTCAAGCTCAATCTCATCTGACTTTTCCGGTGCGCTCTCATTTTCCAAGAGCAGTGGCCCTTCTGAGACGTTCAGTGCAAGAGAACCATTGGCAGAAACACTCTGGTTTTCGTTTTCATCGAGCATCTCCCGCAAACTCGAATTGTCAGACTTGTCTGCAACTGAAGCATTCAATTCTAAACTGTTGTCGACACTTCCGGCATCATTTGCTGTCTCATTCAAGCCAACTGTACTTGCACCCACCGCATCAACTGTCTCGTTGGATGCATTGTCTTCAGAGATATTTGCATCAAAAACAAGGCTGCTCTCGTTCTCTTCAAGCTCAATCTCATCTGACTTTTCCGATGCGCTCTCATTTTCCAAGAGCAGTGGCCCTTCTGAGATGTTCAGTGCAAGAGAGCCATTGGCAGAAACACTCTGATTTTCGTTTTCATCGAGCATCTCCCACAAACTCGAATTGTCAGACTTGTCAGCAACTGAAGCATTCAATTCTGAACTGTTGTCGACACTTCCGGCATCATTTGCTGTCTCATTCAAGCCATTCAAGCCAATTGTACCTGCACCCACCGCATCAACTGTCTCGTTGGATGCATTGTCTTCAGAGCTATTTGTATCAAAAACAAGGCTGCTCTCGTTCTCTTCAAGCTCAATCTCATCTGACTTCTCCAGTGCGCTCTCATTTTCCAAGAGCAGTGGCCCTTCTGAGACGTTTAATGCAAAAGAATTGCCAGAAACACTTTGCTTCGCTGACTTGTCTGTGATTGACGCATTCAATTCTGAACTGTTGTCGACACTCTCGTCATCACTTGCTGTCTCATTCAAGCCAATGATACGTGCACGCACTGCATCAATTGTCTCATTGGAGGCATTATCTTCAGAGATATTTGCATCAAAAACAAGGCTGCTCTCGTTCTCTTCAAGCTCAATCTCATCTGACTTCTCCAGTGCGCTCTCATTTTCCAGAAGCAGTGGCCCGTCTGAGACGTTCAGTGCAAGAGAATCATTGCCAGAAACACTCTGCTTCGCTGACTTATCTGACTTGTCTGTGATTGACGCATTCAATTCTGAACTGTTGTCGACACTCTCGTCATCACTTGCTGTCTCATTCAAGCCAATGGTACGTGCACGCTCTGCATCAATTGTCTCATTGGAGGCATTATCTTCAGAGATATTTGCATCAAAAACAAGGCTGCTCTCGTTCCCTTCAAGCTCAATCTCATCTGACTTCTCAAGTGCGCTCTCATTTTCCAGAAGCAGTGGCCCTTCTGAGACGTTCAGTGCAAGAGAATCATTGCCAGAAACACTCTGCTTCGCTGACTTGTCTGTGATTGACGCATTCAATTCTGAACTGTTATCGACACTCTCGTCATCACTTGCTGTCTCATTCAAGCCAATGGTACGTGCACGCACTGCATCAATTGTCTCATTGGAGGCATTATCTTCAGAGATATTTGCATCAAAAACAAGGCTGCTCTCGTTCTCTTCAAGCTCAATCTCATCTGACTTCTCCAGTGCGCTCTCATTTTCCAGAAGCAGTGGCCCGTCTGAGACGTTCAGTGCAAGAGAATCATTGCCAGAAACACTCTGCTTCGCTGACTTGTCTGTGATTGTAACATTCAATTCTGAACTGTTGTCGACACTCTCGTCATCACTTGCTGTCTCATTCAAGCCAATGGTACGTGCACGCACTGCATCAATTGTCTCATTGGAGGCATTATCTTCAGAGATATTTGCATCAAAAACAAGGCTGCTCTCGTTCTCTTCAAGCTCAATCTCATCTGACTTCTCCAGTGCGCTCTCATTTTCCAGAAGCAGTGGCCCGTCTGAGACGTTCAGTGCAAGAGAATCATTGCCAGAAACACTCTGCTTTGCTGACTTGTCTGTGATTGACGCATTCAAGTCTGAACTGTTATCGACACTCTCGTCATCACTTGCTGTCTCATTCAAGCCAATGGTACGTGCACGCACTGCATCAATTGTCTCATTGGAGGCATTATCTTCAGAGATATTTGCATCAAAAACAAGGCTGCTCTCGTTCCCTTCAAGCTCAATCTCATCTGACTTCTCAAGTGCGCTCTCATTTTCCAGAAGCAGTGGCCCTTCTGAGACATTCAGTGCAAGAGAATCATTGCCAGAAACACTCTGCTTCGCTGACTTGTCTGTGATTGACGCATTCAATTCTGAACTGTTGTCGACACTCTCGTCATCACTTGCTGTCTCATTCAAGCCAATGGTACGTGCACGCACTGCATCAATTATCTCATTGGAGGCATTATCTTCAGAGATATTTGCATCAAAAACAAGGCTGCTCTCGTTCTCTTCAAGCTCAATCTCATCTGACTTCTCCAGTGCGCTCTCATTTTCCAGAAGCAGTGGCCCTTCTGAGACGTTCAGTGCAAGAGAATCATTGCCAGAAACACTCTGCTTCGCTGACTTGTCTGTGATTGACGCATTCAATTCTGAACTGTTGTCGACACTCTCGTCATCACTTGCTGTCTCATTCAAGCCAATGGTACGTGCACGCACTGCATCAATTGTCTCATTGGAGGCATTATCTTCAGAGATATTTGCATCAAAAACAAGGCTGCTCTCGTTCCCTTCAAGCTCAATCTCATCTGACTTCTCCAGTGCGCTCTCATTTTCCAGAAGGAGTGGCCCCATGGGTTCATTTAGTGGAAGAGCTTTACTCATAAGAATGCGCTGATGTGTGTCTTTTTTGTCTACAAAGCCTAATTCTGTAACCTTGAAATCTTCTGCGACTGGTTTGCCGGATGGTGCGGAGATGCCTCGTGTGCTTAGACCAGCTGCAGCATTGGCCACGTGGTCAGGTGCTGTGCCCTCGCTGCGAGAAGCACTCTCGTCAATGGGATACCCCTGGCGAACCTGTTCAAGTCCGGGATCATCATCGTCATTGTTGTAGTATAGTTTGTGTACCTTTTGCACCAGTTGAAATTAAAATGAATTTGTAAAAAAAAACAGATAAAACAGTGACCAGGAAGAGTCCCCTTGACAGACCTATTTTGAGCTCCCACTCTCTCTGCATGCAGAAGAAGTTCACAGTGAGTTGACTGGTGTGTGTGTGTGTGTGTGTTGGTTGGCGTGTGCGCGTGCGCGCGTGATTGCGCGTGTGCTATACAGTAAATAATTGTATATCTTGTTTATTCTTGTTTGGCAATGATTTATGTAAAGTTGATTGTTCTGTTCCACTGATTTTGGAGCACTCGCAAAAAAAAAGCAGTACGGGCAAAGAACACCGATACGAGAAATTATCCATGAAAGGGAAGGCCAAAAGCATCCAAAATATCCAAAAGAAGAAACGATGCCAATTAACATCAATCAACCCACCAAGGCGAAAGGAAAAGGACACGAAAAAGCAACGGGATGCAACGGGCAATCTGACCAGGGATGGCGACATAGAAAGCAAACACAGCTTCAGCATGCTTCAGCTCAGTTACTGGTGTCCTTGTCTCCATAGTCGATTTTCTGGTCTGTTGCAAATGCCCTGAATGGAAGGAAGTTCTCCCAGCCAGCCTTACAGGCTGAATTCTCATTGTACTGACCAACGTTGCTGCCTTGATTTGCATTGCTTGAGCGGCCCTGGTGACCGAAGCGTCAAGAGCTAATGGAGAGTTGGATTGAGTGGATTGTAGCTGAGGTGAGTCCTTGGCAAGCAAGGTCGAGTCAAGTCAACGTTTTCGCCGCCGTGTTTCGGCATGGGTTGTGTAACCTGCGACACTGTTGCGACCTGGATGACCTTGTCGTCCCCAAAAGCTTTGATATTGTATATATATATATGTGTGTGTGTGCGCATATGATATAGACATTATACGCATTTATATGCATTATATATACTGTAACATACTGTCATTAATTGTATCATTCCCAGACGGGACAGTACACCTTCAAAAGCTTCAAGAATCAGTCAGAACAGACTGCAGGGTTCTGTCTCTTAGCAATAAACCGTGACAATCCCTGACATAAGTTACAAAAGGATTTAGACACCAAGCTTTGAGGTGACCTGCTGCGGTGCAATGTCTTGAAATTCCCTCCCATGCAGCATGTATATACTTCCAACATCTTCCAACCTGGTTCTTTCAAACTGTCTAGTTGTATGAGTTTTATATAGTTTTATGAAGTTTTATGATTTATGTGTCCAGAAAAGGCGAAGAGTAGAGGGTGATGTGTCACGGGATGTCACGTGTCGTCATAGGTATACCAAGAATCATGCCAAGATTGCCCTGAGTACCGCATACCAAGAAGAGAAACATCTGGCTGCTCAGCCTGTGCGTCCCTTGGTGGAAGCAAGCATGGACTGTCATGGACTGCACTAACTAACCGTTTTTAAAAGTGGTGCTACAGTCAAACGACAAACTCATGCCTAACTCATGCCTGGGTCAAAACTTGCTAGTAAATCACCATGGAATCGCTGTTTCAAGAAACTCATGCCTAAGTCATGCCCAAATCTTAAAACACCATGGAATCGCGTATGTATAAGAAGACTGTTTCCACACTTGGGAAAATCAAATGTTCGCAAAAATCCGTCTACAGTTGCATTCTACCGTTCATGTTTCTGGGGTTGAGAAATACTTGCCGCTTCGGTCCGCTGACTTTTTACGCTTTGCTGACTCTTTTCGCTTTGCTGCTCTCCGTCCATCAGTGGCTTCGCTCTGCCATCCGTGATTCACAACAACCAACCTCTCCTATAGGTTTCCTATTTTTGAAATCACGACGTGCCGAACGACGTCCGAACGACGTAGCAAACGACGTCAAAAAATAACAAGAAAGGCTCTCTGCCCACCCGCCTGCGGAACCACATAAGAAACTAAAACCGACACGAAGACACAACAATGACCCTTCTCACCTCCATCTCAAGCAACACGCTCAAGTGCCACAATGCCGCGTTGAGCACGCAGTGAAAAGTGAAAATGGCTGCCGCAGCACACTGGAAAGAAAAAGATAGAAACACCAACTCATCGCTACACTCACATCCAGTTTGACTTGGTATGGAAAAGGTTACTCTTGATGCTAAACACAACCTAAACGCAAGATTTATTAACAATGTGGAAAAGGTACTCTTGATGCTAAACACAACCTAAACGCAAGATTTATTAACAATATGGAAAAGGTACCCTTGATGCTAAACACAACCTAAACGCAATATTTATTAACAAAAACTATTCCAAAGACCAAATCCAACAAAACATTGCAATTCCTATGCGTTTTACTAAAAAGGCACGACTTTTGAAATCAAGTGCTCCCCAGCTATTTACGATGATTTCCAAATTTTAGGCACGACTTTAGCATTCCACTGTAGTGGGGCTCCATCAATCCAATCCTATCAATCCCGCTGTGCTATGATCATGGCCACGGCAAACATGTTACGTTTTTACGGTGCATCTGAATCACTTCAGGCCCTTCAATTTCAACCGGTCCAAATCTCGAAGATCTGACAGCGCTTCAAAGTGGCGTGAATATGTCTTTGTCCACGAACGCCAGGCCGATGCCAAATGACAAAAGATTTGACCTGATAAAACACAGCATCAATGCCTGAAGGCCTGAAACTGCCCACCGGTCAGAAATGATATTATTTGGTTATATTTGGTTGCAGTTGCAACAAGTGTTTTGCCTCTGCAATGCCCCGCTGTTTCTCCCTGCTCTAAACACCCAATTGCACTGAAAGTAAGTCAAGTCAATTTGGTTGATCCGCTGGCTGTCACACTTTGGTGAAAAATAACAAAAGATCTCGTTGTTTCCAGCAAGCAGGTCCTCTAAAGATTGAGCAAACAAAAAACAAAAAAACTGTGGGCCTTGCAGGGGTTTCTACAATTGTATTGTCACATCCAAATCATTGAATCTGTTTCCAGTGTTTGCAGGGCGACTTCTGGGTGTTTGGGTTGAGTAGATTTTACTATTATTCATAATTTTAAATTCATCTAAACTCAGCTAAGCAAAGCAATCCATCTCCAGTCTAAATGCCCATGCCAACATGAGCCCCTTCTTTCATGTGTCAACGCAAAACAACAGAATGCACCAACTTTATGGGAACAAATGTGTACATGCGCGAACGATTTCGAGGGGAAGCGCTTCGAGTGACCACCAAATGGTACTGTAACATACTGTTAACATCTGTTAACCATATTGGATCATATTGGCATGGGTGCTCGCCTTCTGCCATCCTAGTCCTGAGTCCTACGGGCCTGCCGAATAATTCGCACAGCTTTGCGGAAGATTACTACATGCCATCGCCATTTGCAAATGCCACTTTCTACATCATCTCCTCATCATCTCCCTCTCTATCTCCTCTCTGTCTATCATCTAATCCAATCCAATCAAATCTAATCTAATCTAATTAGTCCAATCCAACCCAATCGAATCGAATCTAATCTATCCATCTCCCTATCTGTCTGTCCATCCGTTCATCCATCCATCTCTTTGTGATATTGATGGAGAACATGTCGTGTTCCGAGGCCCTGACATCGCTGAATCGTCCTCTTGACGGCCTATGGGAAGCTCTGTTCTTTGAGAACCTCGCAAAAACGGCGTCCAAGCCGAAGAATTTGGACGAACTAAAACAGCACAAAGAAACGAAAGAAACGACATGAATGCAAAAAGAAATGCAAATAGCATCAAATAGCATCAGATAGCATCAAAATGCATCAAATATAATAGCATCAAACAAGTATCGAATAGATTCAAATAGCACAATTCTGCTTCAACGAGCACATTTCAACAATGCTTGCCTGCTCGGAGAAGGCTATCCAAATGACTAGTTTTCACGCAAAACAATCAAAACAGTTGGCAAGTAACAATGCAACATCAATTATGTCAGCTGAGCATCTCATGAGCTCCCTGAATGCAAACGAATTAGATGGAAAAAGGTTGTTTGCCACAACCTTAGTGCAGTGGCTCCCGTGTGCCACATTCAGTCCTGGTCAAGCAAATGGATCTCAAGCAATTCAATGGATCATGATCATGATGGATCCATTTATATAAGCCATTTTGCCCCAAAAATGCTCTAACAGGTGGGCACTTGTGCGGGGTTTAGACATGTTTAGACTAGGTTTGATGCCCTTCAAGGATCTTGACAAGTTCATGAACTGTGTCTTAAGGCAAGCAGTCATGCAAGCAACAACAATAAATTGTATATAAATGATTATAAATGGATAAACATGGTGAGATATGGTGAGATATGGTGAGAATGATTGCTACACTAGGCTAGTGCCTTTTTTGAAAAGGCCAAGCCACATCCAGGCGGCGACACATGCTGGAAGACTGCCGCCACCTCAATCAGGAGGCCATTTTAATGCGTCCCATTAAACACTAGGGCAATTGGATTCAAACATATCTTTCGAAAAACGCTAATACCTTATCTTCAGCACATCCACACAGGCCAGCTGAAAACCTACCAACTACATGTGTCCGCACCTCGTGTTCATATGTCTGTCTAATAGGCTGGCTGGCTGTCCATCTGTCTGTTCATCCCATCATCAATCTGCCTGTCTGTCCACGGATGCCTGTGTGTTTGCATGTTGGTTTGTCTTTGTGCCGGTTCTCGTATGTTCTTGTGTCATCTTGTGCCCACTTTCACTTTCGTAGGTACGAGGAATTACGAGGAGCTATGACAGTGATGACAATGCAAACATAGTGCAATATGTAATGATATTTTGGTATTACAATGTATCACAGGATTCCACAAAAGTCCATAATGTTACATGTTGACTAGTACAATAGTATAGATTTGTGGAGTTTTCACACAATTCTTCAGGACCCTGAAAATTTTGCCCATGGTCTTGATTCTCGGACAGTATTCCCCAGAACCGATTTCTTTCAGGAAGATCTTCCCAATTCTCTTGTTGTGGATCCACTAAATCTGAGCATTGCTTTAGTACAGCTGCTGAATTCAGCGCCGCTTACATCCTTAAAATGCCAAGGTTCCCCAAAGATCCCAAAGAGTGAAACTCATTGCATCAGTTACATTATGTTACATTAGTTTTCCTGAATAGCGGGGATGTTGCCATGGTTGTGAATGAATAGCGGAAAGGATCTTCCGCAGGAAAATTCTTGGGGATCAACTAAGTCCAAGATTGACTTATTGCAGCTGCATCTCAGTCGGTGCCACTCCCAAAGAATTCTTAGAATTCATACGAAGGTTTCCAAAGATGAAGGAAAGAATGGAAGCGAGAAGGGAAGTAAGAATGCAAAAAAATGGGAGGAAAGGAATACAAACAAACAGAAAGAATAAAGGAAAGGCAAAGGAAGCAGGAAAAACAAGGAAACAAAGCAAGGAAGAGCGAAGGAGAGAAGGAACCATGTGAAAGTAGATCCAAATGATTCTAAATGATTAATTAAAAGATATTGAAATCATCCCTTAGATATCGTTAGATTCTGGAATGTTCATATTTACAAGGAGCAGATTGAACGCAGATTCAAACGAACTAACATCTTTTCTTACCTCGGGATTTTCTAAGATAGAAATAGATCGATGACAATAATTCGCAATAAATTGAAAGTAAATGTATACTTACATACTGCATATATATACACATTAAAATACTCACTTAATCTCATTGAGATTCATGACTGAGGGGTTCCAGGAGAGGCCCTCATCCCAAGTCCACACGATCCATCACCCCTTAATTGTTTGGGGGTTGGCAAAGGTTGGGCAAAATCCAGTGTTGCATTATATCGAAAGAAGCAAAGAAGTTAACGGAGGCATCCACGCACGGCAGTGTATCATTACCGTAGTACCAGTACTGGTACTACACTTAATTGCAAGAATATCATGCCAACACGTAGGTGAGATTGAACGACGGCACAACAAATTACAATACCAAGCACGTACGAATATGTACGACGAATATACGACGAATGTACGACGAATGCATATACGACGAATGATGACGAATGTACGAATACATGACTAATTGTGTGATATTATATTATAGATTATTATAGCATATCATCATTATATGAAATTAATTTGCAGATTGTGCTTGCGGCAAAGCTGCAGCCAGCGTAGGAGCCGGAGGCGCCGTAACGCAGGGCGAAGCAAGGGCGACACCTGAGCGTGGCAACTACAGTCCAACATGGTCCAACTGTCACACAATTTATCTAGTCTATTCTAGTCTGGTGGATCTTGTATGATCTTGATTGATCTTGTACCCCAGCTCTCTCACCTATTCCATCTCAATGCAAACAGTTTCAGAGAAGATTTTTGCAGTTGAGGGCCGTGCTCTTGGAGCTTGTTTCGCAGGGCCTGAGGGAGCAAAAGCAAATTACCCACAGGCCCTCCTCCTTCTGCTTTTCCTCCTCTCATTCTTTGGTTGTTGGTGGTGGCAGCGGCGGCGCGGTTTGGACACGATATTGAATTCTTGTCAATGCTTGAGGACCCGATGGAAGCCGTGACGGTCAACACCTTTTGACACATACGAGTAGAATCTACATTGAATCTACATCAGGTCATACATGCAAACAGGCGGCGAACCAGCCACTATTTCTCTCTCTGCCCCTGTCTCTCTCTCTCTCTTCTCTCTTCTCTCTTCTCTCTTCTCTCTTCTCTCTTCTCTCTTCTCTCTTCTCTCTTCTCTCTTCTCTCTTCTCTCTCCTCTCTCTTCTCTCTCTGCCTCTCTCTGCCTCTCTCTGCCTCTCTCTCTTCGTGCTCGTGAGTTTTGAAGGCAGAAAGGCTGCAGGCAGAAAATGTTTTTTCAAATATTTTCAGCATGCTTCAGGTTCATGCCCCATGCCATCCCGTGCAGGTGGGGCGGGGTGGTGCACATCGGCATCAATGCTTGCCAGGCCTGCATGGTCTCCCTGGATGTAGGCGATCCATCGACAAACGTTTACCTCGCGGCCTGTGACAAGAGTGCAATGAGAGAAGAAACCAGGGCAACTGTCCGGGCAACAAAGGATTAGATGAGGTTAAGATATGTTACGACCATGAAAGAGTCCTCTTTGCACACGTCTGATTCTGGCATTCTCGGGACTTCCCCTCCGGCTTTGCTGAACGAAATCATCGTTTTAGGATGTCTAGGCCTCATGTGCCTGCTTCTTGGGATTCTCTGGTCGGACTAAACTGTGCTCAACTCATCTCAACTCAACATTCAATATTGAACATGCAAGATGTTTGGTATGGTTTGGAGATGTTTGTTGTGATGATCACAAAAAACATTCGCCCGAGAAACAAATGTAACCAATCAATTCGCATATGCAGAATAAGCGAGCGGATCGCTGCTGCTCCAGTATCCAAAAATATCCAAAAATGATCTTTATGCATTTCCACCTCTCGAACGCCACATTATGGAACAAGCAGCTTCAAAACCCACAACTCACAGCAATGACGAACGAGTAGAGGATGAAGCATTCTATGACTGCTACTGTCTCTACGTGGACAACACGCCCCCCGCCCCCCACCCCCACAGTTTGACTGGCAAATTCTGGCAGGCAGAAATCAAGCATCCTTCTTACACCAGTTCAGATAGTGGCCGCTGCTGATTCTTCAAGTGTGGGCTGGCGCC